ATCCTTACGTGCTTAAACTTTCGTTATTTAAAAAATGATAATAATGTATTTGTTTGATCCCTCTTGACTGTATCTTTCTTCCTATGCTCTTAAATGTTATATTCAAATTTTATAGCACTTCTGATGTACTGTAAACACATTGATCCATTTTGCTTAAGTCGTTTTAACCTAAAAGGGATAAAAGGGGTTTCGTGCACATCTGGTTGAAGTTGAATCCGTCGTTATATGAAATTGGTCAGAATGGCATAATTACTTTGTAAACAACCATCTACCCTTTTGTTATAGGCATTTACTGAACAGATGATAATATGATACACTAGAATAAAAAAGTTAGGTTTGTAATTCCTAGATGCGCTTCCAGACTATGCTCTACATCTATGTCGAATCCTATGTACATTCGTTCAGCCGCTTAGGAGACACGTATTAAATCCAAACGTACAAACTTTTGCATATCACAAGTAATAAAAGAGTTGTGACTGTGTTTAAAGTGTTCATTAGATTAAAATTTAACGTTTATTGTGTTAAAACTCGATAGTATTTTTTAAATATATACTATTTCAATATGATGTATTCGATTAAGAAACAGTAAGAGCATATCTTTGGTGCTAAAAGCGTGGACAATTTACTTACGAGTATGGGTCTGTTGTAACAAAGTAACGACTATGTCTTTACTTTTCACATTAAACATTGAGAACTACTATTAAACGGATGTTATTGCGTAAGTACGTGTCTAACGACTTTCCTTTGTCCCTCTCAATTGCTTGGATGTAACTGCCACAAATAACTATTAAGATATTGATTGTTTTGTAGCTAGGGTTCAAATTTCTCGGGAAGATTAATTTTCCAAGACAATTCTTTTCAAATTTAGTCAACATGTTTTGTAATATTTACTTAAAAAAACTTCTTTGTTTTACATTACAGTATCATACTTAGTCGAATAGATATTCTATAGATATTTTATAACAATAGTTTGAATATGCTTTGATCAGTTAAATTCATATGGTTTCGCTGATGAAACAAAGGGCAAGCGGTCAGTGCTTTTGACAATCTAATATTCAGTTGCTGCCGGATGTTGAACGAAATTGAGAAACTGCTGGCGCTGTGTAACTATCGTGAAATTTACAATAGTTTGTTACACAACTGGTGCGGTTGAAGAATATGCTCTCCTTATTCATCCCTTACCTTAAAAGACTGTATTAGAGTTTGAATTGTAGTAATAATCCAAATATGTGAGTTGTTAATATTTGTTTTCAGTTCTTAATCTCATTAATCAATAGTAACTGTTCAGTTGAAATTGAACGTCTGTAGCAAAATCTATGTCCTTTAAATTTAAGTTAGTTATCTGTACCATTATAATAAAGCGAATACACACACTTTTTTGTTGCCTAAAATCTTAGCAATTACAGCATATTTTTGAATAATTAATTTCTTAATAAAAAGCCCTACACTTACGTCACGATTTAGACTATATATTTTTACGCCATTAAACATAGGGGGTAAATATTATGGATAAAAACCCATAGAGGGAAAGAGACCATAAGTTGCATCAAGGAAGCAAGGTTGTCATCGTGTCATGTCATTTTGACATTTGTTATTTGACAAATGTAAACAATAAAATAAAATTTTCATAATTTCACGCAGATGAAGTAGCACAGCTAGTTTAAAAATGAAGTCTCCTCTTCGTCTTTAAATCCCCAGGTCTTCGTCCTTCAGATTTATGCATCTTACATTCCATTAGAATGAACCCTTGATGTTCTCTTCAAAATACTCGTATCACAAAAATATTAAACTTGTAATCAATATAACTGATACTTATATGAACTATTGTGTAACTGTCCTTATCGCAAGTGGGAAGACAGTTGGACATTATCGTAACATTTTATTGCAACGTATGGTGCTCCATTTCTCATAAACGATATGAGGAATCGCTATATCATTTGTTAGTTGGTCTTCTCAGTTTATATGATCTGATCTTAAAAAAAGTTTTTCGTAACGTTTTTGTTCAATAAAATGGAACTGTTTAATCAGATAGAGAAATTGGTTGATTTTTCGATTTTTGCTTAAATAACAAAATACTGAATTCATTGGGATCATTCGTATGGTGTAAAATGAAAGAAAAAAAACGAGAAAGATAATGTTTTCGATATTAATTCTGGAAATAAGAGTGATAATACTACTAACATTATAATTGAGAAAGTTTAGATGGATGTTTGTTATAGTTTTAAATTTGGAATAGATGTAGACCATAGTCTTGAAAACCACATAGGCTGCTTGCTTTTGTTTTTTTTCTGTTAATTAAAAACGAAAGCTAGTATACAATATTTTTTAAAAATAGTAGAACAATTAACAGTCCAAGACAATAACAATTAAGCAAAGTAAATGACTGTAATTCTGAGTTGAAAATAAATTTATCTCTGCATGTGAAGATGTGGAACATTACCGTAAAATTTTATTACGAAGTAGCTTTCCTTACTGCTGATAAACGATAAGGAAAATTACGAATGTAGCCTAAAAGGGAAGTAACATACAGTTCTACACCGCAAGTAATTTCTGTGCGGACGATAAACCTGCTTACTTTCTGATATTTTCGATATAAAGTGTGTTTTCGTTGGGCTACAAATTAATACATTTTTCCCGTTGGGTCGATTTGTATTTAGACCAGTAAAATAGAAATAAAATCTAACGGGAAACTACCTATAAAACAATATTCTTTCATGTTTATTTCAAAAGAGTTCATTAACTCTTATTATTATTTGAACTTGATAATTACCACTAAAAGTAATAAATTTCGATCGTTTATTAACATTTACTAAAACATGTGGTTATTATTAATAATCGATTATTATTAATAATTTTCAATTATTCACTCTTAACGTGACATATATATGACTTGTTGTTTTTTTATTTTTATATGTTGTCATGCAATTCTTTTTATTTCACTACCACAGTTAGTTCGTAATTTTCAATTCAGTTTACTATAACATTGTTTTATCTGAATTTCTATTGATGATATAACTAAAAAAACTACTATTTATAAGTATAGACCTATAACTGGATTTGTTATCATTCTTGTGTCTTATATGTTATTTCTTATGTAATTGTTCTATAACTTATCTGTTGGTGTACTTTATAAATAAATAAATAAATAAATAAATATAGACCTAACGGATTGATTGTTCAATTAATATTTATTAATGTATGTAAATGTTAATTAACTATTAATTAATTAAAAAGGAAAGATAAAAAAGTACCAATAAGAGAATTTAAACACATTTATTTATTTTAAAATCCGTATGATAGTTACCAGTAATAACAAATAAGCAAATTTACATGTTCGAAAAACTTATCGAAACAAAGCAAAAGGTAATTCTACAATTATTATTAGGAAAAGTAATTTTCATCCTACATTCAATACGTGAATATTGAATATTAGCGAGTGTAGCTTATTTAACAGAGCTCAGAATAAAATGTAATATGTTAAATAAACACTAGCATTGGTCTTACGTAAAATTGCGCCTAGATAAAACCGCTAACAGAGTCATTTAATGGTCACTAAAGCCTTTAGTGTAAAAATAACCAAATTAATATTCATTCTTTCATAAAGCATAAGTATTATGCTTCATAAAGTATTATTATCTTGTAAGACAAAAATGTTTGCGACAGTTACGGGGTAGGGGGCTCTGTAAATTTTGCGCCTGGACGTAAAAACGTGAAATTTCCACTTGTGTAATTTTACTTCAGAATCCGCCCTTAAATTTGTAGTTACGAGATTTTGTCCATGTCCGTAAAAGGATGAATTTTTATAAAACTTCGATTTTTTTGATGTAAACCTAGTCTGATGAGGTTTCATAAAAAGTAATTACTATTTACTGAAATATACGTCGGAAATATATATTAAGGGGTGGTTTTAGTAACCTTTAAATAACTGTAAATGCGGCATTTTGTTACTTATTATCTAATTGTTCCTCAAAAACGAGTAGTATCGCTAAACTTATTTACATTTTTAGTACACTTCTAGTTACTGATGTAATGTAGTCTTATAACATTAAAATGCTCTTCAACAAAATTTTAATAATCACATTTTCAATTTAATTTTTAATGAAATAAAAGCTTTACTCGTAACAAATCGTGTTAGCGTGTAGCATTTTTAAAATTGGATTGGAAAATTAAACAATTTAATCAAAAAGTTATGAAAACAACAATTATTAAGTTTTTTTAAATGAAATTTCTAGAGTACAGTTAAGTTGACTGAATGTAAATCTAATTTTATGTACATATAAATTATAGGTTTTTTAGTAGTATAAAAATTGTAACTACAGATTTTTCGTCGTACAAGCTTTTTATATTACAACTATAAAGATTATTGTTACTATAGTTTAAGTATTTTTTACAATTACATTGTATCTTACATCTAGAGGTTTACAAAATAATTAAATCCTAAGGAAAATACTTAATTTAAATAGTATAAGATTATGATTCAGGACGAAGAAAGTCCTGTTCTCTTTCAATAAACATAAAAAATGCAATCAAGAACTAAAATTACAAATGTGTAATTATTACAAAACATACATATTTTTATAATTTTAAATTTCTTTAATCTTACGCTTAACAATCTAATCACGTATCACATACTGGGCTCTGAGCGAACTTTTTAAGGTTTAATGTCAATAAAAAATAAAAAAGAAATCGTTCAACAGTGATTCTGGATTTTCGAAAATAATACATGTGAAAAGCTTCGAATTGTACACCGAACAATGTCTCTTGTAGTGTCAAACAGTCAAATATTAAGACAACATAATATTTCATCCACAAAAAAATTATAACAACTTATCATAAAATTTATTTATTCATCGTAGAAATATCAAACGCAATAGAAAAGTGAAATCTTCTTAACACTTTTTTTAATGGTAAACATTCAGAGACAATACAAAAGCCGTCCTTAACTACTTTTATAACCATTAAATTATTAAAATTAAGAAAAACATCGTGTACTGAAATGACTAGACGACTATGACTAGAATTACAATAAGTGTAAACAAGACGTGTAATGCTGGGAGGATCAAGTCAGCCGACTGTGCGGACGCGGCTAGCGCACTGGCCGCAGCCTCTACACACTGCCGGTAAGCGACGTGCTCCAAACATGTGATTGCACAGAAATGTTGATGCGCACACGCTCCATCACAGTTATCGGCACTTTCGTATTTCACATTGTATGCCCTTAAGTACCTGGATAAAACAGAACTATTATCTTTCATTAAATTGAACATTCATTAAAATATAATTATTAATTATCATTAAATTAAAAACTCATTAAAATGTGATCATAAACTTTCATTAAATTGAACATTTATTTCAACAAAATTATTATGTAAAGTCAAATTGTTAATTAGTTTTTAGTCAAATCTAAAACAAAAAACCTTAATGCTTTTATATAGTGGTTAAGCTAGTAGTAGCGTGTTATAAGTATTCAGTTCAAATCATTATTCCCTTCTATTTGAAGCTTATTGTAAGGAAAAAAGAATAGATAGTGAAGAACAACTTACTTATTAAACATGGCGGTTTCGTGTGGCGCGCCTATACGAAGTTTATCCGCTAGGTTATGCAATGAATCCGCAGACACGTCGCGCAGTCCGTAGTACTGGGTCAAGTTATACTCGGCAGTCCACTCGGCGCCCGAGCCCGCGCGGTTAGCCGCCGCTAAATCCAAGTAATACTGCGTGTAGTCTAGGACCTGTTGGCAGTTAAAGTGCTTACTTCTTTCTTATTTAGTTGGTAAAGAAGTTCCAGATGAAAGTTTTATCGCACAAACAAAACTCTTGTATAAAACATGTAGTTTCAGTTTCTGTATGGAAATGAAACGATTTTTAGAGCGCGTGCATACTTATGACTAAACCACCGCACAACTCTTTAGTCTCGCTTTGATTCCTATAAGCTTATATGGAGGTGCGTACAGTACTCGATTTTTAGTTGTGCAACTTAACAATAGAATTGGCTGCGAAACAATCAACAATCGCATAACAGTTGTGCGATTAATTAGTTAAATGTATGCGCCCGTTCGTAATGTGATTGTTTTGACAGTACAAATTGTAAAAAGGGATTTTGACATCGCTTACCTTACCGGTGTCAGAATCGAATTTATAAAGTCTGAGTCCCGGATTTGACGAACCTGCTGGGTCGTGGTGTGGACTTACAGAAGGTGCTAATAACGCCCATGATACGGGTTGATCTAGAAGAAAAAAACACTCAGTTACATTCTCATACTAATGAAAAATCAGTAAAATTAAAAACCCATTTAGTCATTGAATTTCATAGACGACCTTAAAAGAAGGTACTCATTAGAATCTAATTAATTTAACTATTAAAAATTAATAGAATAGAACCTTTGTCGTAGATAACGCGGAAAGTGTCCGCGTGTAAATGGCCAAAGAACTGTCCAGCAATAATTTTTGCGTGACGCCGTATTGTCCGCAAGTATTTTGCGTTTGCGTCCACAGATAAAGAGTTATAAGCTGGACGTAGGTCTGTTCCTGGCGCTGAATGACCCACTATATACACCTGGAACAAAAACATACTATTATTTTTTTATTGGTATAAGCTTGTACTCCTGTTTGTTGATATCTTTAAAAAATGACAGATGGGTACAACCCTAGCTAATATGTTGAAGTAGGGTCTCTCCTATCGCATTAAAACTATTTCATTAATAATTTAGACTTCAATCAACAGACAAACAGGATGCTATTACTCAATAAAAAAATACACTTGCCTTTTCTACAAACGTACCTATTGTCTTGTTAAAAAATCAATTTATTAAATTCTACAATAGAACAATAAGCTTTGCTACGCTATACCCAAAAGGCAGTAATCCTACTTTATATGATTTTTGTGAAACAACTTCAAAAGCGATTAGATTAACGAGTTTTAGCTTGTAATTTATTAGCGCCGCCGCGACCGGACATCCTTTGCTGTTCCGGTGACGTAGTTATGATACTTGATACTGGCCACATATAACGACGCCATTTTCTTTTCATAAACTATGCCTTATTAAATATGAATTTAAAAGAAAAAACTAATTAACAAAAGTTATGATCATTATATATTAGTATAATTTATTTTTATAACATAAGGTGACAAACTAGCAAGCGCCCTACTGAATCCACCGAAATGGAAAGCGACCGCTACCCATAAACATCCGAAATTGCAGATGCGTTGCCTACCCTTAATTGTCGGAAGAGGAGACGTACATAAGAGCACATTTCCTCTTCCCATGCGTCTCTTCCACCGTTAAGTCCGCTTTTCCTTTCCATCCTTTCTTTTTAAGTAAAGAGTGGAAAGGGAAAGGTACTAAAATTAGGCCTCCGGCACCACTCACATCAGACGAAACGCGGAATTGCTTTCACTTCACGTCTGTCTTCTGTGTGGTCGTTGTATTATACCAGGCGAGCCGGCCTATTCCTACGAAGATCTTAAAGCGGGCTCTACCACTGTCAAATATGGTTAATAGTATGAAATTGCATGAAATTTCATTGGGAAATTTTCTGTTATTAATAGTTTTTTGCATAAAATATTATTAGTATATTTATCAAGTTAGTCACGGCTGAATTGTTGTCTGTATGTTGAACTCTGTATATTTATATATCATCCCATTCACTTACTATGTAGACACATAGCCCCCGAGAGATTTTTGATACAAACTTGTCAAGAGAGCGCATATGTAAAAGTTTTCTCGTTTCATATTTACAATTTACTTTGAAATATATTTTACTGCACTATTTCTATTGAAAATATAAATTTTATTTAGAGTTGAAAATAACTTTTTCCTAACATGAAATGTTCATATTTGTGTCAATTTTCATATGTTAATTTGATTATTCCTTAGATTGTAATTTTACTGGCTGTGAAATTTCATATACCTTCTTAAGTCTCTTATCTTTTCTTTTTACTACACTTATTCTACTTTTTTGTTTTCAATAGCCACCGAAATTCGCTAAAATAGCTAAGCTACCGGTGCCCTTAAACATCCGCATTTGTAGATGCGTTGCCTATTGATAATCAAAATAGGAATGGACGTACAGAAAGAGTTTTTCCCGATCTATGTGTCATACCCCCCCCCCCAATTTACTTCCCCTTCCCATCTAATACTTGTAAATGTTAGGCGTAATAATATAACTTCAGTTGTTTTATACACGTAGTGAAATTTCTAGAAAGATAAACAAGCTTACCATTTCTTTATTCGATTGAGCTTTATCTAAAACAGCGTCCAACCATTCCCACTGAGCCTTTGCGGGTGCGCTGTTCACTTCGCGGATTCCGAATAAATTTGTATTCAGAGCCACGATTCTAAGTTTACTATGCGACTGTTCTATCGTATAATAACCACCTAAAATATGAAATACAATTTAGCATTTCAATAACATAAATAAAGCCAAATAAATATTTTGTTAACATTATTTACATTGCTACTTGTAACTAGCTTATTTAAATATGACCTTTGTTACTGTAACTAGTGTTCAGTGCAAAATACAATCTCTTTGGCTGACAAGTAGTACTAATACATACAAAGAGGTTGCATACTGGCCACCAAGACGTTTGCGTGGTTTCTTATAAAAAAAGATGTAATGAAAACAAAAGGTAAGAAAAGGAAGTGCATAGAAAAGATGTGATCGATATAGTTTTGTTAAATGATTTTGCAAATCTTACTAATCTTATATTATTATACTTCTTACTAATATTATAAATCCGAAAGTTTAGATGGATGGATGTTTGTGAGAGTTTGTAGCCTAAACGGCTAAATGGATCTCGATGAAATTTGGCATAGTCTGAAAGAACATATAGTCTACTTACTTTCGTTTTTTTTTTTTCATTCCACGCGGACGGAGTCACGGGCGAAAGTTAGTATGTATATAAGTTAAATAAAGTTGTATTTGGTTCAAGAAAAGCTTTTTTGTATTTTTGCAACAAGTTAAACATCTAGATTCTTCTAAACAATTTTAAAGATAATATTTATGTTCATAAATAGTTAGGTTAATGCGTCTTAACATACCCTTGGAGTGACTTTTGAGCCAAAGCTAAGTCACATTTGAATATTAATCTTATAAGACAAGTACTCGATAAGATTGAATTTGCATTTTCTAAGGACTCTTATATGCCATCGTTATTTTAGGTCTCTATCGTGAAATTAAAAATGTTCCTCTTTAAGTCCTTTAGAACACAATATTGCATCACTATACGTTTTGAAAACTGGCAATGATATTGATAATAATTATCGTTTACTAATTAAAAGTTACATTTCACTAGCTTTCGCCCGCGACTCCGACCACGCGGAATTAAAAAAAACTGCTAGGAACCTATGTGTTCTTCTAGATTGTCCTCTACATCTTAGCCAAATGTCTTCGAAATCCGTTTAGCCGTTTAGACTACAAACTCTAACAAACATCCGTCCATCCATCTAAACTTTCGCATTTATAATATTAGTAAGAATTAAGATTACTTACCGATTTTAAACGTTTGTAATGCCTCTAGAGGCAACCAGTGCATCCACAGATTAGTAAGAGTCTCTGAAGGTGAAGGGTCCAAGTGTCCAAGGACTGGAAACACGAAATGTGAGCTAAACGTCCTTCCGAGTAACTCTGTCATGTTTCTGATCGCCCGGTACCTCTCTTCCTCATTGCCGGTGTATCTAGCTGCTATTATATCCCTAAAATAGACAAAAACATTTAAGCATATATTTAAGAAATGAATCGACTAGGAATAGTTAGCAAAAATTTTTCACCGGTAATATTTCTGACAGGTAATATATTAGTTGTCAAGTTAAATACGCCACCTCTATCTACTATAATAAGCTCTATGTATTGTAAACTAAACAGTGTTACAAAATAAAATACAGACATTGAACATTAAAATAAATTAAATTAATTACATTGTCATTTAGTTTTGAGTCTGTTCATAGATAACGTTAGTAAGATTATGTGAAAAATGTCTCAAGAGACGTGTCAACTATGCCTACTCCATGTATTTTTTTAATCTCTTTGGTGGTATATATAAGTGACTCGGAGAGATGTTGAACATATAAACAAGAATGGAACGATGTCTACAAAGGAGATGTTTGACTAAAAAGATAGAAGAAAACTGCAGAAATTGCGTTTAAAAATATCATAATTGGAAGATAGTACCTAGTATTAAAGTCGATACTCAGTAAGGAATAGAATAGACAGATTAATTAGATAATGAAATTAAATATCGTAGCTTAAATAGATAAAAAGAGGAAAAAGAGATTATTAATCTGTTTCTTAACGTATGACATCAGCAAAAATATATCTAAAACTAGCTGTTCCCGTGCGACATCCACATGAAATTAAAAAAAAAACATTTTATTGTCTACATATGTCAAAATAACCGTTACCATAGTAACCTTGCTTTCTTAACGTTGGCAGCTTGTAGTTGTCCCTTTCCCACATGAATATTTTTTTCCAATTTATTTACCCCTTAAGTTTAATAGTGTTAAAATAAATCCCTAAAGCGTGTCGTTAGTGTAGGGCTTTGTATTAAAGAAAGTATTATTCAAAAATATGCTGTGATTGCTCACATCCTACACCACGAAGTAGTGTGTTTTGGCGCTTTATTATATTAGTACGGATATAGATAATACAATATCAGTAAAATTTTATCAGAATTTATAAAAGTAAAAGATCATTTAAATACAATTTCGTATGTGTTGGGAATTTTCAAAATACAAAAAATATTCATCTTATAATTCGAGGCGTGAACGCACAAAGGTCCTTATTGAGATCGTTTGACATTTTCGAGTAAAAGCGTTTGACACACACGAGACGAGGGTACGCGACAGCCTCGAAACTTTGCCACGGAAATTGTTACATTCTTACGAATTCTCAGGTTTCACGTTACGTATTTCTATGTTGAAATAAAACGTTAAGGGAAATTGTAAACATCATTGTATTGTTAGAAAAAGTAATATTTTTAGCAGTCTTATTTTCAGCAACTCATAACAAAAAAAAAATAAGTAAATAAATCAAAAAAATAATTGTAATGTACATTTTCTTCATTCTTTAGGTACAAGATTCTATTACAATTATGTTAATTTATTAGTAAAATGGGGTTGATTGTTACTTTATAAATTCTTTCAAATTTCATATCGCAAAAATATTTTTACTTCTTTAAGGACTTAAAATCACAACAAAGAGGCCGTCTACAAATTTAGGAATTACTGTTAACAGCGTATAACTCGAACACATTACATGCAACACTTACCCCGTCCAGAGTACAAACTCGACGTTCTCTGAGTGTCGTGTCCTCATGTACTTGGCGGCGGACTCAATGAGCTCTAGCGAACTATCGCACGAGTAGTCCCCGTAGCGACCGAGAGCACGGTGATGTCCAGAACTGCCGCGTTCGTCTGCACGCCGACAATCTATACGTATAGGTGAGTTTAACATTAAAATACGAGGAAAATAAACATTACTTTAGATACCTTATTAATCTGATTGTATTTATAATGATCTGATTATGAGCATTGATCATACTTGACGGTATTCAAACAAGAGCGTCGGTGGCTCAATGGTTTAAGCACTTTATTTGTAATCTACAGATCTTGGGTTCGAATCCCGCCATGTACCAATGAATTTTCGATTTTTCGAATTTTCATATGTACATAATTTACCCGACGTTCTTACGGTGAAGGAAAACATCGTGATGCATGCACATATCGGCGAAGAAATTCAAAGATATTTGTGAAGTCAACCAACCCGCATAGGGCCCGCGTGGTTACTATGGCCTAGTCACCCCTTACTTAGGGTAGGTTCAGAGCCCTTCAGTGGGGACTTATAGTGAGCTGGTGATGATGATGATTAACGTAAATTAGGCTTTGCATGTAGATGGTATTGAATGTGTTATTGCATTGTTATGGACATCTGTCTTCTAATAATATTATACTGAGATTAGAATGGCGTCAACAGGTTAATAATTTTGGAATGTTATGAACTTTTAAAACTAAGGCAATTTAGCAAGACTAATCGTTAACTAAACATCTTTTAATTTGGTAATACAGAAAGAAAGTAATTTCACTTAAAACGTTGTAATTGTTTTGTTTACTTACATCTTCGTGTATCTCCCTGTGGGGTGTAAAGAGGATCGTAATGAAAATCTGTTATATGCCAAAAATAACCTGAAACAAAAACATAATTTAAAATTAATTTATTTAATCTATTTTGAAGTTTTTTAGTTTCGCAATTTTATTTTAAACTCATACCGAATTTAATTTTCTCAAGCACTTTTCTTTTGTATTTATTAGTTCAAAATCTCTTTGGAACGCTGGTATTTTTAATATAAAGAAGCTTTTCTTTGTTTAAAAAGATTAAATTAGGATGCTAAGGAGCAAACAAGCAGAATCCGGTAGCTTTACATAAAAAGTAAATGACATTTTCTCTAACTCTGATTTAATTCTGGGTACGAAAGTAAAAAGCTTTAATGCTTTCTAAACACGAAACGACAATTTATTTTCTTTTTATGTTATAGCAAGAAGATGTCAAAACTCATATCCACGTCTTGAATTCAAATGAGAATTCAAAATACTTGGGACGATATTCAGTACGAATCGGAATTTACCATTTGTGTTGAAAGTGTACTCAAAATTTAAATAAATTCTTGTACATGATAAACACCAATATATACTTAAATAGTTGCTACCGACTTCGTCCCCGTGAAATTAAAAATAATTTTTTGAGTAAAAAACACATAGCTTTTTAATGGTGAAAGAATTTTATAATTCAGATCAATAGTTATTGAGTTATTTTAATGCATACAAAAAAACAAATCTTTTAACTTTGTAACATTAGTATTTGGTAGAAAGGAACTTATGAATGTCCTGCACTACCCACCTAAATCTCATTTTCTTTAAGAATAAAGCCCATTAAACACTTTCCATTTTATATTAGGATCGACAGTTAAAACTGAAAATGTGTAGCGTATAATAAATGAATCTGTAGAATAAATTCTCTTATAAATAATAATTTTATCATCAAAAACTATTTCCTGTTACTGAAGCGAGTAAACATTTATTTAGCCACAAAAAGTTGAAGTCAATTGAAAGGAAATATTAACGCTGAGCCAAAAGCTCAACTGAAAGTCACGCTTGTCCCATCTCTAATAAAAACAGACTGTATTTTCCTGCGGCAAAGAACTGATGAAAAATAAATTCCCAAAAGAAAATACTGTCACACAACAGTGTAGCGAAAGCGTCACTATAATTTGTTAGACTTTATCCGCACGGCCGAGCCCGCCGAGCAAAAAAACGAATGATAAATGAAACACCCAATTTCAACGATGAACAATTGCGTTATATTAGCATGAGTTCTACTGGCAACGCACGCGTACAAAAATTAGCTATCCTTTTAGCCAGTCTAAAAAAACTGAGACAAAAAGTTTTAAGACATATATCACGGTAGTTGGAATAACAAGGAAGGGAACGCTATGTTCTATTTTAGCAATCTCCAGACTTGACTCGTAACATATTATTGAGGTTATCTTATTTGACTTAAAGTGATCCGTTGCTACTGAAGTTAGGGTGATGCCACACTAACAGCTCGTAACCGCTGCTCGATCGCATGTGACATCGCTATAAAATAGATACCACACTTGATTGGTTTGCGCTTTCATCTGCAATTTACTGCAATTTAGATATTTAGGATTTAGAATTTCACAGATAGTCAAATGTCGCAATTTTTTATTATATTGGGCACGGAACCTTGCCGTTGGTCTCATGACGTCATGCGTTAACTGACGGTACTAAACAGACGTTGCAGCAAGTGATCGGTGTTATAGAACGGAGAGAGTAATCGGCAGACCTGCGCGCATACACAAGAATATTGTACTTTAACCTAAAAAATTAACAACTTAAACCTTAAGATATTGCCTTATTTATTTTGATATTAAGCTTTTTTACGTGGGATTAATGAAATAATATAAAACCATGTCTATCGTACAGACTCGCGTATATTTCACCGTATAATTATATTTATTACGGCTGACACGTGATAGGAGCTCGCGTATTTCATTACAGAGATTGTATTATGAATATTCAGGTAATCTGGCGTAACACTGTAGGTGTCTGAGACAGGTAATTAATGACGTCAAATGTCACCAGGTTTATACAGTTCAAGGTAAGACATTTTTCTGTTTTTTATATCTTTGTTTTTATATATTCTTCGTATACAACTAGTATAACACCAAGCTCAAGTAAAATATCTTAATTTATTGGATGAACGATAAGATATTTAGTTTTTATTAATTGGTTTATCTGTTTAAACGAAATAAAAGTTTGAAAATTTGCTTAAATGAATAATTGAAAAACTTAAGTTTTTTTATGTTAAGAAGTAAGAAAATTATGTACAAAATGATATAGATAATATTTTTATATAAAATGAAGGTAAGCGAAAAGCTTGATAGAGCAAAAAATGTCTTGGGAAATGTTGAGAAATTAGATAAAATCTGTTCGTCTTAAGCCACAGGGCCGCGCCTCGCCGGCGTTCTCTCGCAGCAAACTTTGTGAACTCGAGCGAGTTGAACTCGACGAATAAATTAGAGGAGCGATTTGTATTGCAAGAGGATAAAGTTGTCTTAATTTATAAGGCGAGCTTAAAGAACGAGGCTTAGTTGAGAATGCAAGAAACAGTAATGTCTTCCCACGTTTATATTTAATTAATTCGTTTACAGTGTTACTCCTTTAACTAAACTATCGCACATCTGTTGTGTGATTATTTATTATTTCACAGTTCTTCCAACTATTTAGTTGCACAAGAAAAAATTGAGTACAGTGCACACAATCTCATAAGAATCACAGCGAGACTAAACAATGCGATAGTTTGGTTTCAGGTATCCGGACGCTCTTACTAGCATTAACATCTGGAAATCAGTCTTTCTTGGAAAGACATAAGCATCTGCATTATTTTGATACTTCCCGTGCGACTTCATCCGCATAAAATTATGAAAATTCAATTTTATTGTTTACATGTGTCAGATTATCAATAGCAAATGTCAAAATGACATGACGATGACACACCATGGCAGCCTTACTTTCTTGATGTTGGCAGAAACTTATGGTATCTTTCCCACGTTAGGGTTTTTATCAAAATATTTACCCCCTAAGTTTAATGGCGTGAAAATATATAGCCTAAAGCCTGACGTAAGTCGAGGCCTTTTTATTAAAAAAAGGATTATTCAAAAATATGCTGTAATTGCTAAGATCTTAGGCAACACAGCAGTGTGTGTTTACGCTTTATTATAATAGTATAGAAGCATAGATAGGATAGTAAAACCTTCATAATATGAAAGAACATAATGGAAAACAAACAACGCCTTCAAGTAAAATCATGTAAAGGGAACAAAAGCGCAGTCATTAATATGTTCGATTCGATCGGGGTTCTGTCAGCAGTTTGTGACGCGCAACACCTAGTCGCGTGCACCACGGCGTTGTTCTCACGCACCCACTAACCACATAATAACGCTCTTTGATTGATGAACATATCCTACCCGCGGTACTTTGACAGCCTAACGCTTCCCTGTATTGTTTGACGCGATTTACTCTTAGCTTGAATGACGTTACCTGCTGACCCAAATAGCTTTGGGAGTTAACACCTCGCAATGACTCAGAATTTTAGATTGTTTATTTTTGTACAGAATAAAGGTATAGTTTACTTTATAACTATAATGTACTCATCCAGACGCGACTTAACATTAAATGTACAAAGTTAAATTAATAATAAAAGTTTAAATAATAATTTAAAGCAACATCTACTTTATTTATTGTAGTAGTAGTTTTTGCTCGCGACTTCATTCGCGTAAAATTAATTAAAACAGTAAAATCATATAGCCTATGTACTTGCTGATAACGTAGCTTCTTAATGATGCAAGAACTTTTTAAATCGGTCCAGTAGTTTTGACTTAAATTTATGCCAAAATAAAAATCTTTTCTCTTTATAACATTAGTACAGATTAAAAAAATCATTATTAAAACATGCAATACATTGTACATAAGAGATAACTTATTTCTGTATATTATACTTAAGTTATAAATAAGTAAGCACTTGGCACAATGCCTATATCGCTACGCTCGAAGATTAACCTGACGTTGTGAAAGTCGGAACATCAATCACCCCTCAACCCCACCCCCCACCCTTCAACAAAGCAACGGGGTGCCTCGTGATTAGCAGCTCTAAATTATCTTTCGCTACCCTTATATACGCCGCTGGCTACTGACGTGTATATGCACTATACATACGTACATGTCTGTATATGTTGTAAAGGAAACCGTAAACAGCAAATTAAACAATAAAACTTTTGTTTTATTATGTTAATACCTTATTTTATAATCAAATTTTAAACTGTTTTAGTCCAACTTTAACATTTAAAAAATACTTTCAATCTAATAAAAAAAAAAAATTAAAATCTTGCGCTTGCGTTAAATTAATAAAATAGTCTATATCGCTCATTTATAACGTAGCTTTCTAATGGTGAAAGAATTTTTATATCGGCCAAGTAGTTTTAGAGTTACATACAAAAATACAATTCTTCAACATTTTAGCACGAATGGGCCGGCACTCCCGGTGTAATACCACGACCACACAGAAGACAGACGTCAAATGGAAGCAACTCTGTGTTTCGTCTGATGAGTGTGGTGCCGGAGGCCTAATTTTAGTCCCTTTCTCTTCACCACCCTTTTCTAATGAGAAGATGGGAAGGGGAAGTGGATTTAACGATAGAGGAGATGCATAGGAAGAGGAAATATCCTCTTTATGTGCGTCTCCTCCTCCGTCGGATAAGGGTAGGCAACGCATCTGCAATCGCGGATGTCTATGGGCAGTGGTCGCTTCACCATTTTGGCAGATTTAGGCGGCCGCTTGCTCGTTTGCCTTATGTTATAAAAAAAAATCTTTCCTCTTTACAATATAAGTATAGACAACGTCAACTTGTTAAAATGATAAATTCGTAGCAGAGTTATGAATAAACAATCTATTAACAGTTACAAAAAAAATCTTTCATATGTTCTCTTCGTTCTCTTTTACAATGTTACAAACTATCTTACTAATCTTACTAATATTATAAATGCGAAAGTTTAGATGGATGGATGGATGGATGTTTGTTAGCGTTTGTAGCCTAAACGGCTGAAAGGATCTTCATGAAATTTGGCACAGGTTTAGAGCATAGTCGGGAAGAACACATAGGCTACTTTTTATCCCGGGTTACGGTTCCCGTGGGATTCATTAATTTAGTTTTTTAATGTTTACTCGATCATTTTGCAACGGTTCAACATATCTTATTGTTGAAATTTGGCACAGCTATAAAACAAAGTCTGGAGTACACATGGGATAAGTTTCATCCCCGAGAAATGTCCGGTTCCCCTGGGACACGTAGCTTTTTTAATTTATATAGTTCGTATGTTTTCTAATACCACACGGACGAAGTTGCGGGCAACAGCTCGTATCTGATAAACTGCACAAAAACAACATTATAGGAAATAGAATTTTCATAAACAATGGTATCATCATTTTTATTAACTGTTCCGTGTAATATTCAATTTCTTATATAAGTAGACGTAATAAAACACCAAATGCCAGAGCGCCAACGTACCATGAAATGAAATCATTTTTTACCCCCAGATTGAACACAAACGGTTGCCTTCTTTGCGAGCGTAACTATGTTTGGAAAGGAAAAAATATTTTTAAAACTTCTTTGTAAGAAAGCTTGTACTTTCCTGGTACAACATATAAATCTGTTTCTAAAAATGATTCTTCAACAATTCTTTTATTATTTTATTATGTACTGGCTATCGAGACTCCGTCCGCGCGGAATAAAAAAACAAAAGCAAGTAGCTACTTGCTTTTGTTTTTTCAGACTATCCTCTACATCTATGCCATATTTCATCAAGATCCCTTCAGCCGTTTAGGCTATAGACTAACAAACATCCATCTATCCATCCATCTAAACTTTCGCAATTATAATATTAGTAAAATTAGCGCATAGACAGTACAAACAAAATATGGCACTAATCTTATGTTCTTAACTACTTTTACCTACGTATCTACGTACTATCATTGTTTGTTGATATAAGTTATGCTATTTTGATTTTCGCTGAAACTTGTCTGGTGAATGTAATCAGGAAAATTTAAATTAGAAACATCTTTCAAGATTTCTTCACATTTAATTGTACCTGTAATTATTTTATCATATTGTTTAAATCACAGATAAATTTGCTTAACTGAATAATCAAATTCTTTATAAATTAAAATCCGTACCGGCTTTAATTTAAATGATATTGGTGGTTATTTTGTTTAAATAAAACTTAATTATATTTATTCGTCCGCCGTTTTTAACGAGTCATTGAGATTGATAAGGAGTGCCGGACTTGACCGAGTTTGTTTTTATCAAAAACGAAAAATGAAATATTTGCTTACAATTTGAGATATTAAAATGTTAATTCAAATCAGTTGATTTAAATTATTCTTACGTTTCCATTTTAATTAAATTTATTCGAAACAGTAAATAAGCATCCATAATTTTATTCAAACACTTGAAATATTATAGTTTAAATATTTTTTAATATTATTTTATAATTATCCGGTTTAACTTCGCTTTGATTACAAAGAATATAAATTTTTCTGTCATTTATTCTCTTTCCGTCGATCTACGAGTATACTAATATTATAAAGATGAAAGATTTGTATTTTTGTATGTATTGAAATAGCTCAAACACTACTGGACCGATTTCAAAAAATCTCTCACCGTTAAAAAGCTACGTTATCTGTGAGTAACATAGATTATATTTTTTTAATTTCACGCGGGCGAAATCGCAAGCAACAGCTATATAAAATATACAAAGTGACATAGTTAAAATGTAGCTTTTAATGGAGAAAGTTTTTTAAATAGGTCAAGTAGTTTCGGAACCTATTTAGTGCAAACAATCAAATCATTCCACTTTATAAGTATAGACAAATAATAAAACAACTAAATTTAACTTTCATTTGACTATTCTTTTAATTATTTTCCAAAGTTCTGAAGTTTAAAAACGAGTAATATACTATACGAATATTATATTTTTAATGAAACCACATGTTCTTCATAATTATCTTACTTACGTAAATGTAACTTAACACAGGATGTAAGACATAAACAGAAGTTTAAAGTTCAAAGGTGGTTAAGTAAGAAGCCTTAGTAAATCACTCGTGTTTACTCTGAACTTAGTTAACTAACTTCAAAATGAGGCCAACGATCACATGTATGAGTTTGTATGAAATGTCTTTGATATTTGTAGATTTTGAAATACGAGAAATTCGAAGATTCCCGAAGATTCGAAGATTAAGAAATTTCCTTTAAAATTTGTCGTTACATTTGTGGAAGTTAAAAAACTTGTACATGTTATCGACTTTAGATGCAAATGTTTTTAAATTTTTAGCATCCCTTTCAAGGGAAAAGGTGACTAATACATCTTTTTCAAACAATGTTTGTGAGGTAGTTACGATTATACCCATCTTAGTTGAACTTTGAGAATTTAGTGAACCTTAGTATCAGCGTAAAAGGTCAGTCTGTACGGTGAGTTCTTAGAATATTCTACAGTAGAAAATATTAATAACAGAAGCACGTATCATACTTGCTTTTCGGTTACAAAAAGACATTAATGGCCGGTGCAAAGGTCCATGCAATCGCAAGGGAAATCTAGATTAAATGTCATTTAGCTGGAGCTTCGTGGCTCGTAGGAAAAACATGAAACTGTGGGTCACGTTTTGAGATAGGCGATAAAGAAAGAGATCTTTTTACCGGACTGTACCGTATCTTTTTTAAATCCGGGTTTAAAGAAATATATTAAAAGTTTTTATCAAAAGAATGTTTCCTTAATATATTTTCTCACACAGTTATACAAACAGCATCAAAATATCTATACTAATATAATAGAGTGGAAACATACACTTTGTTATCTTTGATGTTAGCAATCACTGCATATTTTGAAATAATTCTTTTAATTAAAATCCCTATATATACACATTTTAAAAATAAAGTTAATGACTTATAGTTTGATGAGGAAGAAGCTGCACCAGAACATATTGCATGTAATATTATAAGGATGAAAATTTATGTTTTTTTTAATTTATGTACGTATTTAAAAAATAACTGAAAAATTATTGGGCCGATTTCAATTGTTTCATCATTACATAGCTAATTTATCACTTAGTAACATAGGCTACATTTTTTGTTCCAAGCGGACAATGTAGCAAAAGCTAGTATTATAAATTTTTATAAAAATCCTCTTACCTATTTTAGCGTGGGTACAGGAGAAGGAAAAGACACAAGTTAGTGTCAGTACTAAATAGGGGATCTTCATTTTACTCCGCGGGCTTAGGTCACGTTCATTGTTAGAATTCTTTCGCCTCCCAAGAGTACCTGCAAAGAGATAGCTAATTAGAAACTTTATCAAGATTTCCCTACTTTTAACTATTTTTATACTTTATTCTTAGCAAGAAAAGAGGAAACTTTACATTATTGAAATGGACAGATCTTTGAAAATATTTACTATCCACATAGAGGTTTAGACAAATTAAATAACACTTTTCATCATCATCATCATCCACTTGCCCTTATCCCTTACGGAGGGTCGGCACAGTATGTGCTGCTCTTCTATACATCTCTATCAGCCGTCATATCTGAATCCACTCCTTTCTTAAGCCTATCCTCTTTCACACAATCCATCCATACTTTCTTTGGTCTTCCTCTACCTTTGTAGCCATCCACATTCAATCTGAACACTTTCTGGTTTATGTCCCCATCGTTTCGTTGCATAACATGTCCATACCATGTCCAAAAGAAATAACATTTTAAGCTAGATAAATCTATTTATATACCAATAACAATACATTAGCAGGTCTAAACCCTCTTTGAAATTATAATCGCAGTCAATTGAACGATATCCATATACGTTAGGTATAATTGAATTCATTAAAATATAAAATTGGCTTTATTTAACCAGCTATTTAAATCTTACTGATGTTATAAATGCAAAAGATAAGACTGTTGGATGTCAGGGTTTCCCACATAAACAACTGAAGAGACCCCGATGAAATTTAGTAGAAGTAGAGAATAGTCTAGAGAAACACATAGGCAATTTAATTTTAATACTTTGAATTTCGCGCGGACGCAATTACACAAAATAATACAGAGTATTCATGAGTTAACATTGTACAAAACTCACATTTTTAAAAGTAACAACATTAATAGCTTTACAAATGCTAGAGAAACCATTCAATTGTTTCTACTCGTAGATAGTGTTTTGCGAATGCTACGGCACCCTCTACGAAGCGTAGCATAATAAAAGGTGTTTTGTAGCGAACCGCGTTCTGATTTCCTGGTACGGTTGACGAGTTTAACAAATCTTTGAATTAAATTCATGTTACCTTATTAAAAAAAAACACATTTTTTGTAATAGTTAGAATTCCAAAAATGTAACAATTTAAGCTATGGACATTCAAACCCTCCTCTGTAAATAGAAAAGCATTCTCCAAAATATGTAAACATTATATTCAAAAGAAAAACAAAGAGATTTGCTTAGGATCGAACGTTCAATTTATACACGAAGTTAGGAAAACCAATTTCCTTTGCAAATGTTTTAAGAATACAAATCGAATGATCGAATTTCATTTGATTTATGTTTTTATAATAGAAGCTTAGTTATTGCGGTATTACGTATTTACTGAATTTAGATAAAAAAAACACTTATAATGAACAAAAATTGGTTAGTTATTAATGGGTTTATCTTAACAATACACATAACATATTAAGGGTGAGTTGCATCAAATCGCTGGTTATCGTAAAAGTTATAATAGGGTTACAAGTGCAAAAACATATTCTCACAGAGGTCTTAT